AGTCGAGTCAGGTCAGTCCTCGGGAAGGTGAATTTCTTCGTGGTACGTTCTCGGGGCCTTACGTCGTCGCGCTCGCGGCCCACGTTACACGTAACTCCCTCTTCTCGCGACTTTTCGCCTGTCCCGTTCGCGTTCTCCGTCGCACTGGTGTTTACACCCCAAAACGTGACCCTGCTGGTTTCAGGCCCATTTGATTTTTCATAACCTCACCATCCCCCTGGCCCTCTCTTTTTCACTCTTTCGCTCCTTCTCCGTCTCCCCGGTCCGCAACCCCGCTTCGTCTTTCTCTTTCCCCGGCACGTTCCACCCGCTCCTTAAAGCGAAACGCGAAGGAGACACGAGAGCCGCGAGAAAGCAGCGGCCGTGTGTGTGCGTGCGTGGTGTACGTGGTGTGCGCGCGCGAGAAAGAGCGAACCAACGAACGAGCGAGCGAGCGAGCGAGCGAGCGAGCGCGAGTGAGATTCCATCGTGGGTGAACTACGACTCCGATGGCTCCGGATCGATGGATCCCGATTCTAGCGGTCGATCGGAACGCAACGGCCGCGTAACGCTCGAGCATAGGGCCCCGGGCCTGTCCCCGTTGCACCGCGGGTACACGCTCGCCGCGCACCGCCGCGATCGGAGCCAGTAAGGATCGAGATCGGCGCGGCGCCGTGTCGTTTCGGGTCACGAGCTCGGGTCCGTCCGCGTGAACGTGGTTTTTTGTGCGCGAGAGGGGACCGTGTGCCCTCTTCAGTGGTGTGCCGTCTCGTCGGCGAACGGTCGACCGATCCTCCGCGTGATCGCCGATCGGTTCGACTCGGTCCGGTTTCGTTCGACCGCCGCGGAGATCGGCCGGTGCGCGTTGGTACGGCGAGTGTTGTTTACTCTCCGCTCGCTGCCGCGGGTCGTCGACGTCGCAGTGTCTCCGGAGCAAGTGACACGCACCGGATAAGACCGGAGAGGAGAGGAGGCCGGAGGCTGCCGCGAGGGAAACAGAGGGAATCACCTGGAATTCCGAGCAAACCTTCCGGGGCCGGGCGGTGTCCGTTACCGGGATCGATCGCGGACCGGGCCGGGACGGGCCGGGCCGGAAAAGTTTCGGCGGATCGGGCCCAGCATCAGCGAGCAGAGCGTTTCGCGAGGAGGCGCGGCCGGGCGCGCGCGCGCGGGTCACTGCCCCCTCTGTCGGCTCGAGTACCTCGCGTACCCGACTTTCTTGCCTCGCGAGGGAGACGAAAAACGCTGGAAAAGAGAGAGAGAAGGAGGAACGGCTGACGGACCGGCGGCGAGGGGCAGAGGGAACGGCACGGAGGGAGGAAGAGAGCGAGAGTGAGAGATAAAGAGAAGAAAGAAACGAGCGGCGAACACCTTCCTCCGAAAGATCGCGCTTAATCCGATTTCGAGTCGCCTGCGAAGGAGTCCATTCGTTGGGAACAGGGGATCGAGGGGAGGACAGAGGGAAACGGATAGAGAAAGAGAGACAGACGGACGGAGAGAAGAGAACCGCGTATACACAGACCGACAGAGAAAGAGAGAGAAAGAGAGAGACAGAGAGAAAGAGAGAGAGAGAGAGAGAGAGAGAGAAAGAGGAAAGCATGGAATCCGCGAGGCATTCGCGCGACCGGTTGGAACGCTGATCCGATCCGCGGTACCATGTCCCGTGCCCGACCGGTCACGTGAACCCGTAGGAGAATGAAATTGCCGTGGACGATGAGGAAGAAGAACGAGAGGTAGTGCAGCTCGCGCACGCAACGCACCGTGCCCGGTTTACCTTTATATGTCGTCGCGCCGCGAGAGGAATTTGGCAAAGGAAGGGGGCCCGTCCGAGGGACAGAAGAGATGATCATTAGGAGATCGATGGTCCTAGCCCTGGTCCTGGGACTGTTGTCGGTGGACCAAAATGGCGTCGGCCAGGCGTACGGCGAGCGGACACGCGGGGACGGTGCCGACTACCGGTTCACCCGCAAGCTGCCCGCGAGGGTGACGCGGCTGGTGCCGCGCAGGTCGCCGATGCTGCCGCAGGACAGCGCGACGATGGGCCTGGCGATGCAGAGCAGGGCGGTGGACACGAGGGTGCAGATGAAGGTGTGGGAAGGCGAGCCGGAGGGCACTCTAGTCGGCGAGATACCGGTCAAGCAGGGGTTCACCTACCGCTTCAACGAGCCGCCGCAGGAGTTCGCGCTCGACCCGGAGACCGGCGAGATCCGCACGGCGAAGGTGCTGGACAGGGAAGCGTTGAGCAGCGACAGGCTCGACCTGGTCGTCTTCTCCAGCTACCCGAGCTACCCGATCGAGGTGAGAATCCTCGTGCTGGACATCAACGACAACGACCCCGAGTTCCCGGAGTCCAGCATAGCGGTCAGCTTCTCGGAGTCAGCGGTGGTGGGCACCAAACTGCTCCTGGACGCCGCGACGGACAGGGACACGCCCGACAACGGCGTGGCCGACGACTACTTCATCGTGGACGGCAACACCGACGGGAAGTTCCGGCTGGAGGTGACCGGCAATCCCACCGGGGAAACCTCTTATCTCCATCTAGAGACCACCGGGAAGCTAGATCGAGAGCAGGTCGAGTACTACTCGCTGAACGTCTGCGCGAGGGACAGAGGCAAGCCGGCCAGGTTAGGCTACCTCCTGGTGAACGTGACCGTGCTGGACGTGAACGACAACCCGCCGATCTTCCAGCAGAGCGACTACGTGATCGCGCTCAACGAGAGCGCGCCGGTCGGCACCAGGGTGCTGACGGTGCACGCGACCGACAAGGACTCCGAGGACAACTCGAAGCTGACGTACTACCTGCCGGACACCGAGCGGCAGTTCACGATCGACCCGGAGACCGGCACGATCACCACCGTCGAGCCGCTGGACTGTCCTCAGCAGAGCTGCACGATGGCCGCGCATCCCGGCGGCGGCTGCCCGAAGAGCTGCGTGATAACGGTGTTCGCTCGGGACCACGGCTCGCCGCGGCAGGACGGTCGTACCTACGTAACGGTGAACCTATTAGACGCGAACGATCACGATCCCGAGATCAAGTTTAGTTATTTCCCGTCGACGCCCGGCTACGCGACCGTCGACGAGAACGCCGCTAGGGACTCCATCGTCGCGGCCGTCGCGGTGATCGACAACGACGAGGGACTGAACGGGGAAACCTCCGTCGAGATACGGGCCGGCAACGAGCTGGGCCACTTCCGGCTGGACAACACGCAGAGCTTCGACATCGTGCGCGTGAACGGCCGACTGGACCGCGAGGAGATCCCCAAGTACAATCTCACCGTGGTGGCGACCGACAAGGGCACGCCGCCCAGGTCCGCCACCGCCTACCTCGTGATCCACGTCAACGACGTCAACGACCACGAACCGGTCTTCCAGCAGAGCGAGTACTCCGCCGTGCTCTCCGAGCTCTCGCCGACCGGCAGCTTCGTCGCCAGCATATCCGCGACGGACGCCGACTCCGGCCTGAACGCCCGGATCTACTACGACTTCGACTCGGGCAACGAGCAGGGCTGGTTCTCCATCGACCAGGACACGGGGCTGGTCACCACGGTCGCCACGCTGGACAGGGAGGTGCAAGGCAGCATCGAGCTGCACGTGTCCGCCAGGGACGGTGGTCCCAATCCCAAGTACGTCTCGACCAATCTGAAAGTGACGATCCTGGACGAGAACGACGAGGCGCCGCGATTCTCGCAGAGCGTCGTCGAGGTCACCTTGTCGGAGAACACGCCGCCCCAGAGCCTGGTGGCTACTCTGACGGCCGTGGACAACGACCAAGGCACCAACGGCAGCGTCGCTTACAGCTTCCACTCGAGCGTCTCCAGGGATTACCCTAAGACGTTCGCGTTGGACGGGTTGACTGGACAATTGACGACGAAAATCCCACTGGATCGAGAGACCACGGCCGAGTACAGGATCTTGGTGATCGCCAGGGACCAAGGCTCGCCGCCGCAGTCGTCCACCGCGACGGTGGTCCTGACGCTGGAGGACGTCAACGACAACGCGCCGGTGTTCTACCCCTGGCGCTATCTGCTGCATATCCCCGAGGACGCGCCGCCCGGAACCACCGTAGGCAAGGTGACCGCTACCGACGCCGACGCCAGGGAGAACGCGCAGGTGAGGTACTCGCTGGAGTCCGGCGGCGAGGGTCTCTTCGTCGTCGACGAGAGGACCGGCGAGATCGCGCTGCAAGGCTCCTTGAGAGCCGCCCACAAGACCCTCTACGAGCTGAAGATCTCCGCCAAGGATACGGGTGACAAGGTTGCGTCTAGGAACGCTCTAGTCGAGATCATCAGGGAGGAGGACCTGGAGCCGCTCGAGTTCGACACGTACAACGGCTACAAGTTCCATATACCGGAAGACAGGGGCGAATGCGGCTCCGTCGCGAACCTGTTCAGCAGGGAAGTGGGGACCGTCCAGGTGGCGCAGTACGGCGCGGCGAAGGTCTCGTACGCGATCGTGTACGGCGATCCCAAAGGGAACTTCAAGATCGACGAGAGCACCGGCACGATCACCACTTCGGGATGCCTGGACCGGGAGCAGATCGCTTATTACAGCCTCCAGCTGTCAGCCAGGGCTGGCCTCGCTTATGGCCAGACCTCCGTGAACGTCGCCGTGCTCGACGTCAACGACAATCCCCCGAGATTCCCCAAAGGAGAGATAGGGGACGAGGTGTTCCTCAGGGAGAACGCGGCCGTGGGTCAAGAGGTGTGTCTCGCGAGAGCCAGGGACAGGGACGCGGGTGCTAACGCTAGGATCGTTTATTCCCTGATGCACAATCCCGCCGGGCAATTCCGGGTCGCCGAGAACTCGGGGATCATCTACCTGGACAGACCGATCAGAGCCGCGCCTGGCACGGTGCTGCACTTGGAGGTGACCGCTACCGATTCCGGCAATCAACCGCTGTCCGCGCAGCATCAGGTCCGAGTGACGATCGAAGACGTCAACGACCACACGCCGGTCTTCAAGCTGACCAGCTACGAGACTTCTCTGCCGGAGTCGACGCCGGTCAACGACCGATTCTTCTCCTTAACGGCGACCGACGCTGACCTCGGCGCGAACGGGCGCGTTCTCTACAGCGTGACCGACGGCAACGCCGAGGCGCGGTTCGGTATATTCCCCGATGGACAGTTGTACGTGAAGAATGTCCTGGACAGAGAGGAGCAGGATTACTACGCGCTGGAGGTGACCGCTACCGATCAAGGCAGCCCCGCGAGGAGCTCCGTGGTGCCGGTGGTGGTCCACATCATAGACGAGAACGACAACGCGCCCGAGTTCACCAATTCCAGCTTCATCTTCCATCTCAGGGAGAACGAGCCGCCGGACACGTTCGTCGGGAAACTGTTAGCCACCGATCGCGACGTCGGCCGCAACGCGGACCTGATGTTCTCGCTGCCCGCTAGTCAACAGGACTTCGTCGTGGACCCTAGGAACGGCTTCATCAAGTCCCTCAGGGTGTTCGACAGGGAGCTACTGGTCAGCAACACCGGCAGCAGCTACGTCACGCTGGAAGCCACCGTCACGGACAACGGCGTCAACAGGCTGAGGGACAGGGTGAAGGTGGTCATCTATATTACCGATGTGAACGACAACGTGCCGCAGTTCCAGAGGCTGCCGTACAGGGTGCAAGTGAACGAGGGTGCGGCGACCGGCACGCAGCTGCTCAGGGTGTACACGACGGACGCCGACGAAGGGCTGAACGGTGACGTCTTCTATTCGCTGGAGGATGGGAACCAGCACGGTCACTTCGCCATCGACGAAGCTACCGGGCAGATCTCGTTGGTCAAGGAGCTGGACAGAGAGACCTCGGATCAGTACGTGCTCACCGTGGTAGCCCACGACGCTGGCCTGGAGACGCGTCTGTCCTCCAACACCACGGTCCACATCGAGGTGCTAGACGAGAACGACAACGTGCCCCAGTTCGTAGACAACAAGTCCAGGATCTCCGTCCTGGAGACCACCGCCACCAACACCGAGCTGCTCAGGTTCAAGGCGACCGACGACGACCTGGGACCCAACAGCGAATTGGCGTTCGCCATATCAGCCGGCAACAGGAGAGACACCTTCTACATAGACCCCCTATCCGGCACGCTGTACCTCCGCAAGCCGCTGGACTACGAAGAACTGGAGAGGTACACGTTGAACGTGAGCTGCAGCGACGGAGGCCATCCAAGGCTGAGTTCAGTGACGACGTTGCTCGTCGAGGTGATCGACGCGAACGACAATCCGCCGGTGTTCCCGAACACGGCGATCGCCAGGCAGATCAGAGAAGGGATCCACGTGCACACGCCGATAGTGACCATCACGGCGGAGGACCCGGACTCGAACGAGAACGGCGTGGTCACCTATTCCATCGCCAGCCAGGACCCGGAGGACCAGGTGCGGAGGTTCGGGATAAACCCGAGTACAGCTGTGATACACACCTTGCTGCCGATCGATCGCGAGGAAGTGGACACCTACAAGCTGGTGGTCGTCGCCACGGACAGCGCGCAGCCTCCCAGCGCCAGGCTGTCCGCGGAGAAGCTGGTGATCGTGATCGTCGAGGACATCAACGACAACGCGCCGATCTTCGTCAGCATGTCCGCCGTGGTGGTCCCGCTGAAGGGCACCTTCGAGCACCAGGAGGAGATCACCGTGTGCCAGCTGCTCGCCAGGGACCTGGACTCCAGCACGAACGGGCTGGTCACGTACGAGCTGCTGCGCTCGAACGTCAACTACTCGGACATGTTCAGGATACACCGGAACACGGGGCAGCTGACGATGAGGCTGCCCAGGTCGATCAGGAACAGCTTGGAGAGGATGTCCAAGTATCAGGTCGGCGTCCGCGCGACCGACGAGGCCGTACAGGCCGAACGGAGGTCCACCGAGACGTACTTGACGCTGATCGTGCCCGGCGACGACACGGCCGAGGACCAGCCCGTTTGGGAGCACCCCGGACAGATCGAGGGCAGCGTCTGCGAGAACGAGCCCATCGGCACCAGCATACTGAAAGTGACCGCTCGCAGCCGCAGGTCTGGGATCGATCTTGAATATTATGTGACGAACGTGACCGCCGGTAGCGGCGGGCCGCAGGTCGACAGATTGTTCGACGTCGACACGAAGACGGGCATACTGTCGACGGCAGCCGCGCTCGATAGGGAAACCGGAATCCAATGGTACGAGGTGGAGCTGTACGCGATCAGTGTCGGCAGCACCAGGCCGGCCACCACGTCCACCAAGGTAAGTGCGATAAGTCCGTTTTGATTGATGGATATTGATGATTGCGTCCCGTGAAAGTCGTTCATGGGCTTTTTCTTGGCGCCCGGCCTACTAGACAAATCGACTGTTTGCGGTCTTTTTTCTGGCCGCTGCGAGAGTGTGTCTATTGAGAGTTCAAGTGACTCGTAATCGTTCGGTTTATCGCTGTTTGTTTAGTGACTTCTTAGGGAATCACTGGTAGCTTCTCGGCGATCGCGGAGGAAACGGGAGTCGTTTCAACCGCTTCGGTGGAGATTTAAGTAATTTTGCAGTACCGAACAAACGATAGTTGATCTAATAATTGTTTTTGCAGTGGTGTAACAGTAATGTTAGATCTGCGTTTATTTAAATATTTACGCGAATAACATTGTTATACTGGTATGCTGTACTGTATCGGTGTTTGTTAACGTTTATTATTATTGTAATACGCTCGATAGTCAACGTGAGATTGCAATCATGAGATACGTGATCCCAAGTTAATACCTCCGCTACCAGCGTTTGTTTCAGCGACGATCCTCTCAATTGTAATATCTTATTCGAGCTAACAAATCTTCTAAAGAAAATATTGAAGATATTAAACTAAAACAAGTCATTGAGTTCCTAAATATAAAACCGTGTCTTATAACTTTCAATGATATTATATATGGGATTTATTTCAGTTTCTTTATGTAAAATGTGAGATTGCACCGTCACTAATATATGACGCTGGCGGCGAACGTGTTAACACATTGCATACTGGTAACTTTGTTAATTAGAGCATTTAAAAAAATATTAGAGTTGAATGGATTACCTATCTAAAATATGTTACACGACAATATGATACTTGAGTTTTCCTGTAGATAGTGATATGAGTTGATCTCACAGCTATTCGTTCTCCAGACAGAAAATTACAACAATCTCGTGGTTAGCTTTTGTCTCGACGAGTACGCTAACGGGTTGCATACGATCGGGATTCAGGACCGTCGACACAGGAACCGGAGATCGTACACGATAATTCGATTTTTATGAATGAACTGAAACTCGGCGAGAGTCTCCTTCTCGCAGCCTTATTTCACTCGTCAATTAATATAAACCCGGTTGCTCTGGTTATTATTTATTCAAGAGTAAAATTAGTTCGAGCCGGTAAAGTTCGATACGGATTTTTACTTTATGAACCGATTCGACGCGTAACCCTTCGGTCCCCCGATACTCTACGAGAATGGCGGGCCCTGATTTTACGATCAGCGCGCGTATCGTACGGTGCTCGGCGAAATTAAATTTATAAAGATCGTCGGAAGGGGGGATCAGGTACTCGCGATATTTTCTACCGTTCGGAGCAGCCAACAACTAGGGCAAACAGCGACGCACCTCGAATCGCTTCGAACGTACGAGACTCCAATCCGATCTCGACTCGATCTTAGAGAACTCTTGAAAGTTTGGGAGAGATACGTCCATTGGTCTCGAGGACCTTGACTTCAACTGACGAAACGCTCTATTTAGGGGTAGGCTCGAACTTCAATTTGGATAAAAATTCTGACACTTTGAAAATTCTTGACACTCCGAATTCTCGAAATACTCTTGAGTTTCTAGCAGTCCAACTATCGGCCAGTCGAATCGACTTCTAATTCCTTCATAGAAACTTGGAAATACTATCGAGATATCTACCGATTTCCTTGCGTGTCGCTGAATCGACGTCTTCGATGAGAAGCATCTTTCGAATAATTGTAAAAGAGGGAATCTAAACCGAGTAATCTTGATCTGGTAGTTGCAGTGTCGAGACTCATCGAATCGTTCGAAATATTGTAGACGCCGATACCGTCGAAGACTGTCAAGGGGTTTCGTAGAGTCGAGTCACGCTCGGACTCGAATTTCCCGAGTGTCGAGGGACTCGGTGCCGTTTCGAGGTTCGACTGGCCATAGCTAGGGGTGAACGGGCAAAGATCGGCGAAGATTGTTAGAAGGATCGCATCGATTACACCGTATTTACCCGTCTGTGCGCCTCGAAACTTTCCGAGGCCGGGCTGTATTTTACGAACCACTCGCGATACTCGATCGTTGCGAAAGCAAACGTTCCCCGAGTGGAAATTCCATCGCCATAAATAATACCGGTCGTTTAACGTTCCGGGCCGAAAGTACCCCGCTGGAATCTCCTCCATTTCCAGTCGCTTTCGAGAAAGATCAGCCGAGCGAGGGCCGTGGTGCGCGACGAGAGCGAGCGCCGAGCGGAACGCCGATCCGCGGGGCTCGTTTGTCACGAGCGTAACGCGTCCGAATGGATTTATTAATCCTCTCCGGCCGGGGGGTCACGTGATGCGCGCGCCTCGCACAGGCTTCCCGTCTTACGGCATTGGCGTATACATACCGCGATCATTCGCGAGCCGATGGGAACTTCGGTTGTTTCGCAACAATCCGACCGTTGATTAATTAGTGATAGAGAGTTGGGAATCGGGATGAACGGTGCGAAGGTAGCGAGAACGGTTACGTCAATGGCTCAACGGAAGAAGGGTTTGTGGATCATGGGATGCTGTGTCTTGCGTGATACTGCAATTTCTTCGCTATTGTTGATGATGCAGTGGGAAGTGATGGGAAAATCGTCGCGAAAGTGACCGAGTTTCTGTGTTTCTTGAGTTTTAGGTTTTTAGAGGTAGCAGTTAAAGTTTCAAAGTTTCAAAGTTTCGAGGTTTCAAAGTTTCAAAGTTTCAAAGTTTCAAAGGTTCAAAGTTTCAAAGGTCCAAAGTTTCAAAGTTTCAAAGTTTCAAAGGTTTCAATGGTTCAAAGTTTCAAAGGTCCAAAGTTCCAAAGTTTCAAAGTTTCAAAGGTTTCAATGGTTCAAAGTTTCAAAGGTTCAAAGTTTCAAAGGTCCAAAGTTCCAAAGTTTCAAAGGTTCAAAGTTTCAAAGTTTCAAACTTCTAAAGTTCCAAAGTTCCAAACATCCGAAGTCCCAGTGTTTCAAAATTTAAAAGTTCGAAGGTTCCAAAGTTCCAAAGTTCCAAACTACCAACGCTCTAAAGTCCTAAAGATCCAAAGATCTCAGTATTTCAGAGTCCCAAAGTTTCAAACCTCGAAGGTTCCAAAGTTCCAAAGTTCCAAACTACCAAAGTCCAAGTCCTAAAGATCCAAAGATCTTAATATTTCAGATTCCCAAAGCTTCAAACCTCAAAGGTGCCAAACCCGAAATTCCCGACTCGCCAAGTTTCCAAGCTTCCGACTGTCGAAGTGGCCGGACACTTTGAAACAGGACTACAGATCACGCGAGCCACAGTCCGGACGAGCGAGGAACAGCCGTTTCCTAAACGTTAGCGGTTCTAAACTCTCGCAGATGCGAAGCGACCGGGCGACGATCTCGGAAGACCGTCCCGACGGATTTATCATTCCACCGGGATATTTGGTCGAATCGGCGATCGTCGGGACGATTCCCCGGGCCCCGGCGGGAACATCGGGCCAGACGATAAACACGCGGTCGATCGGCCGTTGAACACGGCCGAAACGAACAAAGAAACGCGAACGATAGGGACGGTGGAAAGCAAGGTGGTCGCGTCTCGGGACCACTTTCCTCGGTCCATTAAGATATCTCCGAGGCATCGAGGAATCGGCCGCTCCTAACTCCTCCCTGCCGGTTCCCCTCGTCAGCCCACCCCCTTCTCTCATTCGATACGACATTTCTCACTGAAAATTAGCCGAGTAGCCGCCGGCTTCCTCCCGGAACACCGTGCGCGATCTCCAGTCTTCTCGAACATTTACGCGGGTACCCAGATTCTCATAGGCCGCTTCGCGGGAACTGGAATTAAAGAGAAATTTCTACGTCCTGTTGCGATCTCGATCTCTATTTTTCGATTTTTAGGCCGGCCGAGGAGAGTGAAGCGATAAGAACACGTGTTTCTCAGATGTAGGAAACTTTATCGAGTGATGCCTTCGATATTCTTAACTACTGTTCTTACTTAACCACTTTGATCCACTTTCCGAAATATCCAAGGCAGCTGCGAGTCTGCTCCAGAATGATCCTTCACGAAAAGTCTGGAATCCACGGAATTTCTCACAGAAATTCTTACGAATTCGTGAAAGTTAGAACCGGGTCGACATCCAACTTTACTCATGGAATCCCTAGAAATTCATCTATCGAAATTTGTATTAACGATCCAACCTATTGCTAACTCAATTTCGTTATCACTTCCTCAGAGAATCGTCCTCACTCTCAAACAATCGAAAGAGAATTCAAAACAACTCGGACGAATCTCTCAACAACTCGCTTCTCCCTTCTTAACTGCGAAAGCCCGAAGAAAAAGTACACGAAACGTCGAGGAGCGAATCCCGGAAACCCGTGCACACGCCGCGAATTCATGAAGCCCGCGGTTTAACGATCGTCCAATCGAACGACGCGCGAGCCCCGGGTACGTCGGGGACTTCCTTTTCGGAAAGGCACGTGTTCCTATCCCTCGATCATCATCCTCCGAGCCGATGCTCGGCGACGAGCCTCCGCTCCGCGGGCCGCGGCGCGCACGATCGAGAGCAAAAGCGAAAGGGAGAAAGAGACGAGGAAAAGGGGTGGCGATCACGCTCGCCGGGGGGAGGGGAGGCTAGAGGAGAGCGAGAGCGCGAGAGAGGAGACGAGGGGAGCGGAGTGGGAGAGAATAAACGACAAGATGAACCGCGTGCCAGGAAATCAAGTTGGATTCGAGTCCTGGGCTGCCGTGGCTCGCTCGCTCGCTCGCTGGCTGGCTGGCTGGATGGCTGGTTGACTGCCGCTGCCGGAGATTCAGAACTCGAGAAAAACTTGATCTCGGACGAACGCATACAAACAGCCCGGACGTAGGTAAAAGTCGGTCCATCTCTACCCCCGGCGCGACTGCCGCTGGCCGCTGCTCCTGCCTCTGCTCCTGCCGCTGATGCCGCTTCATTTCTGAACATTCTCCGCGCGCATACTTTTCTACCATTGTACATCTAACGTTTGATTTTCCTGTTGGTTGCTCTTTGCTCCTAGGCTTGTTCCGGGGTACTCGAATCGTAGGTTTATAGGGATTCGGTGTCTT